AAGGCAACATCACAACGGCCTGTCAAAATGTCCAGACGAGTAGCCAAGCGAGGCAAGTACGCTGAGCTGCGCGAACTGCGCCAGTCCGGCAAGAAGAAGACCTACGACGTCGGCGAGATCGACGAGCTCTACGAAGAAGTCGACGAGAACCAGTACAAGAAGATTGTCAGAGACCGCTTGAACGAGGACGATTTCGTGGTTGACGACAACGGCGAGGGTTACGCCGACGACGGCCGCGAAGAATGGGACCGCCTCCCCCAATACCACAGTGACAGCGAGGAGGAATTGGGCCTACCCGGCAGCAGGCCGCGCAAGTGTGAGCAAAATTGAGATGTTGAAAACCCGATTATGGGAGCAGCTTGTAAAGCACTCTGGTTCTGGTACTGACCTTCGTCCTCCTCCCTCTTAGCCAAGAAACAAAAGGAACAAGAAGATGCGAAACGAGATGCCAACGACAGAGATATCACCGAATACTTCACAAAAGGCGCCGTCAAAGCCCCTCCAAAACAAAAGGTCATCAAAACAGAAGAAGATGAAAAGTTCCTGGACGACCTCATCGACCAGGTCACCGCACAAATCCCCGTCCCGGTCACACGAGTATCCAAGAAGAGAGATCGATCAGTCGAGAGGAGGAAGGTCCGGGTGCTCTCCCCAGTACGGGAACCTCGGCCACCCATGGCAAAGAGGGCCAAGACAGTCGATGATCGGGCATCATCCCCAGCAGGAGACGACGACCTTCAACCAGACGACGCCTACCTGCCTGCTATGGACGACGAACCTGCACCAGTTTCCGATTATCTTATGAGCGACGCCATCATGCCCTCCTCACCGGCCGCAAAAGTAGCAACACGGAGGACGTTTGGCAGGCCGGAACCCAAAAAGAATGAGGATGATGAGGACGAAGATGAGGACATGATGGAGGTTGCCCATACTGGAGCGGTAACAGCCGCCAGCGTCAACATATCAGCATCCCGTCAAACCAAAAGGATTCTCAAGACAGAGCCCGTTCCGGCCAGTTCGTCACCCGCAAGGGCACCAGCGCCAGAGGTCGACGCTGCTTCCTGGAATGAGATCAATCAGAAGCTCAACGTCGTATCCATGTCACAAAGCGAGGGCAGGAGCGTTGGCAAGATTGACTACAAGGACGCTATCGAAGAAGACGGCAGCTTGAACATGTTCTGGACAGACTACACAGAGGTCAACGGCAGTTTATGCTTGTTTGGCAAGGTCCTAAACAAAAAGACCAAAACCTACATCAGCTGCTTTGTCAAGGTTGACAACATTCTCCGGAAACTTTTTTTCCTGCCGCGCAAGTATCGTGTGCGAGGTGGCGAGGAGACAACAGAAGAGGTGGAAATGATGGACGTCTACAACGAGGTTGATGAAATCATGACCAAGATGAATGTCGGCATGCACAAGATCAAGGCTTGCACCCGCAAGTACGCATTCGAGCTTCCCGATGTTCCTAAGGAGAGCCAGTATTTGAAGCTCTTCTACCCATATACCAAGCCTGCGATGGAACCCACCCACAAGGGCGAAACCTTCTCCCACGTCTTTGGTACCAATACCGCTCTGTTCGAGCAGTTTGTGCTCTGGAAGAACATCATGGGCCCCTGCTGGCTCAAGATTGAGGATGCAGACTTCACTTCCTTGAGGAATGCTTCGCACTGCAAGCTGGAGGTCCTGGTAGAACATCCCAACATGGTGTCGGTTCCGGATAATGCCGAGAGCATTGAGCCTCCTCCTTTGACGTTGTTGAGTCTGGCTATGCGCACAGCGTTCAACCCTAAGGATAACAAGCAGGAGATTCTCGCGGTTAGCGGGAGAGTCTACTTTGATGTGTCGCTCAGTGACACCACTCCCCCAGACAAACTTGCTTCTCGTAGTTTCACCGCTGTTAGACCTTACGGTAGCGCATTCCCTATCGGCTTCGAGACGCTTGCCAAGGAAAGAAACAGAGGTGTGCTCAAGCTCTTCAAGCAGGAACACGAGATCTTGAATTTCTTGCTCGCACAGATCGATGTTGTCGATCCAGACGTTATCCTTGGCCACCAGCTGGAAGGTGTTGACTACAGCATCTTGCTGAACCGGCTGCACGAGAAAAAGACGCATCAATGGTCTCGTTTGGGTAGACTCAGGCGCTCTCAGTGGCCCTCGTCCATTGTTAAGATGGGCGGCAATGTATTTGCCGAACGTCAGATAATGTCTGGCCGTCTGCTATGCGATCTTGCCAACGATGCCGGTAAATCAGTCATGACCAAGTGCCAGACCTGGTCCTTGACTGAAATGTGCAGTCTGTATCTGGGAGGCGAAAGTCGTAGAAGGGATATCGACAACGAAGTTGCCCTGAAGACGTGGGCTAACGCTGACAAGCATGGTTTGATGGACTACATCTCCCACGCCGAGACTGATACTTACTTCATCGCGGCTCTTGCACTCAGGACTCAAATTCTTCCTCTTACCAAGGTTCTCACCAACCTGGCTGGTAACTCGTGGGCAAGAACGCTCACCGGTACGCGAGCCGAGCGAAACGAATACATTTTGCTTCACGAGTTCCACCGCAACAAGTATGTCGTACCGGATAAGCAGACCTTCAAGGGTCGGCAACGTATTGAGGAGGAAAATGCAGAAGAGGAAGGCGGAGAAGGGGGAAAGAAGAAGGACAAATACAAGGGTGGTTTGGTCTTCGAGCCAGAAAAGGGTCTTTATGACAAGTTCGTTCTCGTCATGGACTTCAACTCCCTTTACCCTTCCATCATCCAAGAGTACAACATTTGCTTTACCACAGTTGATCGAACATCACTGGTAAGTCAGAGTCCCTCCTTCGTTGACGTCACAAGCTAACGTAAAGTAGTCCGAGGACGATGATGCTGTTCCTGAGGTTCCCAAGGAGCAGGCGCAGGGCATTCTTCCCAAGCTGATTGCCACACTCGTTAGCCGACGTAGGCAGGTCAAGTCTCTGATGAAAGACAAGAATGCCACACCTGAAGAGCTTGCCACCTGGGATATCAAGCAGCTCGCCTTGAAGTTGACTGCCAACTCCATGTACGGCTGTCTTGGTTATACCAAGTCGCGCTTCTACGCCCGTCCTCTTGCCGTGCTCACCACCTACAAGGGTCGTGAGATTCTGCGGAGCACCAAGGAATTGGCAGAGAGCAACTCGCTCCAGGTCATCTACGGTGACACGGATTCCGTCATGATCAACGCGAACAAGGACAACGTTGCTGAAGCCCTGCGTGTCGGCCACGAGTTCAAGAAGGCCGTCAACGAGCGGTACCGCCTCCTTGAGATTGATATCGACAACGTCTTCCGGCGCATCCTCCTCCAAGCCAAGAAGAAGTATGCTGCTATCAACATGGTCGAGGTCAACGGCAAGTGGGTTGAGAAAATGGAGGTCAAGGGTCTCGATATGAAGCGTCGTGAGTACTGCGGGCTATCCAAGGAGATCTCCAACCGTATCCTCACCGAGATCCTCTCGGGTGACGATACTGAGGTGTCTGTCCAACGCATCCACGAGTACCTTCGTGACATATCTGCCAAGATGCGCGAGGGTGCCGTCCCTGTGCAAAAGTACATCATCTCGACTCAGCTTGGTAAGGCGCCCAAGGATTATCCCAATGCCGACTCGATGCCACAGGTCCAAGTCGCCCTTCGCGAGTTGGCCAAGGGCAAGACCATCCGCAAGGGCGACGTCATCTCGTACATCATCACAGGCGACAGCAAGACCACCTCAGAAGCCGTTGCCAAGCGTGCCTACACCCCTCAAGACGTGCTCAAGGCCGAATCTGGCCTGTCTCCGGACGTAGAATGGTACATCGGCAAGCAAATCTTCCCTCCAGTCGAGCGTCTCTGCGCCAACATTGTCGGCACGTCAACTTCCCAACTCGCAGAAAACCTCGGCCTCGACGTCCGCCGCTACTCTTCCAACACCAACAACAACTCCTCAGGCCCACAGGATCTCGAAATCCACCCTCTCGAGTCCCAAATCCCCGACTCCCTACGCTTCCAGTCCTGTGCGCGCCTCTCCCTCCGCTGTCGCAAGTGCAAAACCTCGCACCCCTTCGAGGGCCTCGCCTCCCCATCATCCGTCAACAATGTCACGCCCTCCGGCATTCAATGCCCCTCATGCCAATATGTCCTCCCCACGCTCAGCGTCGTCGCCCAAGTTGAAGCCGCCGTCCGCGCCCAAACAGCGCGCTACTACGAAGGCTGGCTCGTCTGCGACGACTCCTCCTGCGGTAACCGCACGCGCCAAATCTCCGTCTACGGCACCCGCTGTCTCGGATCCAAGGGTCTGGCGCGCGGCGAGTGCGGCGGCCGGATGCGGTATGAATACACGGAACGGGACATCTACAACCAGCTGGTGTACTTTGCTAGTCTGTGGGACGTGGATAAGGCGAAGAGCAAGGCCAAGGAGAACAATGATGAGGATGCGGATGCTGCTAAGCTAAGTGCAGAGGAGAAGGAGAGGGTCGCCATCATGGCGGAACATAATCGTGCTAGGTTTGGTACGGTTAAGGGCGTGGTGGAAAAGTATTTGGATAAATGTGGACGGAGGTGGGTGGCGATGGATACGCTTTTTGCCAAGTTGGGGTTTGTTCCTCAGTGAGTGGGCATGGACAAGAAAGATGGATCGATGGGTATGTGTGAAAATGGGTACTAAAGTTGAGCGGATGGTTTCCCTCCAGTGTTCATATTGTCGACATCGGCGTTAAGGATTGGGCTTGTTTCCGAATAACGGCATTTATTCTTGCAGGATTAAAGCTCCTTTTTACCTCCCTACATTTGAGATTATTGTCTACCCATCAACCCATTTATATATCATGATGTAACCAGTCTAGGATAGTGTTGGCCTGATCTACCATTTTCTATATCTCACTGCCACGCACAGGGCAGGGATACATCCCCGACCCTCGCCTCAACCCTAATCCCCACCTACATCCACAACTATTACACTACAGCCTTATAGCCCATACACCCAAGCCAAACATACAATAATAGGCAAGATGGCCGAGCGGTCTAAGGCGCCACGTTAAGGTTAACCCTTAATCCGAGTGAAAATCTCAGTTCCGTGGTCCGAAAGGGCGTGGGTTCGAATCCCACTCTTGTCAACACATCCTGTATACCTTCACCAAGCTCAGGTGGAATTCCCTTTTTTTCAGCAATCTATCTTTCGCCTCTTGTTTTTTTTCTTCTTCCTTTTTCTCTCAGTTCACGTTGGGGGTTCAATATGATAGACATAACATGGATCTAGGCCAGGCTAAGATAAACAAGATGTAAGAAACAACTCCATATGCTCAATAGCCTTGTAAGACACCCTTGGTATAAACGCCCCCCGACGGGACTGCTAAATAAAAGTACAGAGTTGATAGCCGACCATTCTTGATGGATATGTGTTGAATCATTCCCGCTGCATGAGTAAAGATAAATTGAAATGGCTTCCAAGAAACTCATTCCATTGCTGCCCTTGATGTGATGTGATACATCAATGACGAAATCACCTGACACCACCCCATCTCCCCCTGGAAGCCGCCGACTTATTCAGCGCCAACCTCCTCCCAATGTTTCCAAAGCACACGCAACTGCAAAACAGCACACTGAGCATCCAAATACCCGTCTCAATGACGGCCGCGTTTTCGCTGCTCGCCCCTCCTATACCACTCATCCTCGCTGATGCGCTCCGAGGCAACCCGGATGTAGTCCTATTAAGCACGTCCATCGCAGGTTGCCCGCTCGTCGTCAGGAATTGATGGTCGTGATACGCAGCTCCAGCCACGGGTGCAGGCATCATATCGGGGTTACCCAACCCCATCAGGATGGCGGATCCCGTAACGCCCACGGCGGCACTGAGAAGGAACCCGGGTTTGGAGCGGTCGATCAGGTACCACAGGAACGGATTCGCAAGCGCGAGGGTGATAGATACTTGCATGGTCGAGGCCCAAGGCAGACGGCGGATGGCGAAGACGATGCCGACAAAGGCGCCGATGCTGCGGACAACGAGGGGCCAGTCCGCTTCGGGCGGGCTGGTGACGCCTCCGCTGTTGGAATCCGTCTCAACGGGGAGGGTGGTGACTGGTGTCTTCCTTGGAAAAGTCCTTGATGACGGTGGAGGGGCTTGTTGCAACAGAGCGGCGGCGGCCTCTGCAGCAGCAGCAGCTCGTCGCCTTTCCTTCTCTTTCTTGGTCATCCTAGTCCTCTTCCCAAATGCTTCCTCCCATACTTGATCAAACCAGGGAAGTAGCCTGCCCAACACTACGCCGGCCGCTCCCCAGAAGGTGAGGTAGCGCCAGCCGTAGCCGCCCGTGACGCTATCTCCGTTGGGCAAGCGAGTCACGAGCACGCCGTAGCCCGCGCCGAGAGCGAAGAGGAGAGTGGTCCGGAGTAATGACCAGAGCAGGCCCATTACTGGGTTGTCGTTGCTGCTGTTGATGTCTGATGACGAGGGTTCGCCTCTGAAGGGGGGGATGGTGGATGTTATGGAGGAAACTCGTCGTTGGCGCTTGGGGCGGAGGGTGATGGTCTCCTGGTAGTTCTCGTCCTCGTCCTCGTCATTTTCATCGTCCCTGGCGTCCCCGGCAATGCCTAGTACGTTGTCTTCGTCCTCAGTTTCCTCCTGGAGTTGCTTGCCAAAGTAAAGTCCATGGCGTAGGTTCGATGCTGACCGACCTACGCTGGGTGTGGTGGCGGCCATCCCGAGCTCACCGGGGTCGGAGAAGATGCCGAAGAGAGTCGAAGAGGTTAGGTTCCGGAAGGAGGTAGCTCTGCTGAGGTTGGAGGAATCAAGACCGCTGGTGACGGCGCCGCTGCCAGCGGGAGAAGCGCTGCTGTTGAAGGGAGATCGAGGGTCCAGGAGGAAGCGGAGGTCGGCGGCTGTGATGCGTGGTTGGGGCGAAGTGTTGGAGTCTCTTCCAGGAGCTGGGGAGGGAGACTCATCCTTACGAGAGATGGTTGGTGGTGATGCTAGGCTGAAGGGTCGTCGAGGGATTGGGCGGATGATTTTGGGACCTTCTTGAGTCCCGCCATTGGAGTTTTGGTCCATCTTGGTAAAAGCTGCCCCTGGTGGCTTGCTTGCCGTGCCGTGCCGTCCCGTGCCACGCTGGTGCTGAACCGATGTAGACAAAGGCGTTATCAACCTTATTGAAGCTTAACGAAACTCAAAAAGGGCTGAAGATTGGAGCATATAGAGGCTCGGGGAGCCAGGGAAACTGTACGAATTTATATCCAGCGTACTGTTTCTCCTCCACAGTTGCGAGACACAGAGGCCGGCCGACTGGCGTCTATATTGTTTCAGAACCGGGATGGCTGCAAGCCGGATAAATCAATGGCAAGCGCGTTGATGTCCAAAGAGGATGCCCAACTCGGTGAATCCAAAGCGCCTCGAAGAATCGGGAAACAGCTGAGCTGATGGTTGTGGTGGTACAAAGAATCTTGATAGGTCAGTTTTGGGATGCAAAGTGATGGATGGATCGGAAAGGTAAGTGAGTGAGTAAGAACTTGAACAACACCCCGCTTCCCAATGCTTATAGCTTGCTGGATGTGAAGGAGAAACAACAATTCAAAGCTGACGAATGTGTGGGACAAGAGAGGGGAAAAAAAAAAAAAAAAAAAATTTAAAAAAATTAAAATTTATATGGAAATGCAGGATTAAAAGGAGTTATATCCGTCTAGCTCGATTTAAGCACGCGGAAGGGAGACGAGAGAGGAAATAAGAGCATGGGTCAGGGATATGGCATGTATTCCCAAGGGTTCCAAGGGATGGTCTGACTTTGCGTTCCCCGTTTGGTTCATCTGGACACCCAACCACACAAAATCAACCCCGGATTTTTGAGAAGTCGTGATGTGAATCAATGATCGCCAACATTAACACCCAGTACCCGTTGTTTTTGCCCACCGCGCCAATGTATGGGGAAACACTACCTACACACTAGGTACGGGATGCATCCGAGGTGCACCAGATGCACCAGACGCACCCTGTGATGGCCCATCATTGGTACACTGGGCTACGCTGCAGTTACAGTGCAGTTGCATCCACGCGGATTCACAGCCGAAGATGCGGAGACAGGCAACACCGTCCAGTGAGCATCAAGATAATTCAGGAGGAGTTGCGCTCGTGCCTTGCTCTTCAGCTTTCCACACTCTCTCATCGTCGGTCACCGCACCCGAATCCAAAGAAGGATGCAAAACCAATGACTGTCGATTGCCCTGGAAATAGCATGTCGCTACTGCAAGTTGCAAATGCCAAGACTAGGCCTCTTGCCAAGGGAAGTTTGGGAATTGCCACTGTTTAGTTAACTAGCCCGAGGTCACTCCGGGTCCGAATTCCTGCCCGCGGTTTCCGTTTTTTTTTTTATTGCCCGAGGCACTTGCCGTTTCAGGGACCATACAAACAACTAGAGAAGCCACAACTGCAACCAGACTCTCTGTCCGTCGAACCTTCCTTCCCAGGCAAAACAAAACGTTGCAACAAGAAGGAATGGTTGAGGCTTATTTGAAAGCGGGGTTCATCTCCCGTTGTTGCTTGCCCTGGACACGGGACGATCAGTTTTTGCCGATGATTGCCCGACGCTCAGTTCATTCGCCTCTCATTTTCATGGCAGGTGACGCTGTACCAAAACACCTAAGCAGCAATGTCGTCCATTTTTTGCGGAGAAACATTACGCAACACGTGAGCACAGATGCCATAGAATGACCAAGTAGTCTCAACACTAAATAACTAAACTTCTTTTTCAGTGTTCCAATCTGTTTAGATCTATGATGCAAGTCCATATTACCTTTCAGTCACCGGACAGCCCTTTCTGCTATCTGAATACGGTCTGAATACCTAGACTACTCTGCACAGACCCACACCACTTTGATCAGATCAATCAATTAAATCACTCCACCCACCACGCAGCCCGGCATCTGCAACCTCTTTTCATCCATTCAGCCCTGAATCTTACCGCTGACCGGTTCTATCACATGTCAGCAAACAGGTCAATCCTACGCAATCCCGCTCGCCTCCCAGGTTTTCTTTTTCTTCTTTTATTTTTTTTCTTTCTTGACAGGTGTGTACTGTGTACACGTAGAACACGGCAACCAAACAACGCAACAGGCGTTACACAGGAAGCGAATCGACGGACTACGTATGAACAGGGTTCCTAAAACAAGGAGGTAAATGAACTAAACGAGCTCCTCAAAACAGAATCTCCTCTGCCTGGTGGTCCCATGACTTTGACTTTTCACCCCACGTCGCTTTGCTTGCTTGAGAGAAACCATGACGGTAAAACCATACCGCGGTATGGCTTTGTGGATTATGCTAGGGATTGTGAGCGAATCCTGTTGACAAGATGCTATGTACCTATAGTGCAGCCAAGAAAGAGCAGGCCAAAACTGCCTGCCTGCATAAGCCATCTTTTTTCACTGAAAAAGGATATTTGTTATGGATTATGAATACACCTCTGCTGAGATATAACTTGTTAGCATGGTACGGTAGCTGTACAAAAAACCTGGGAACGGGCTGACAATAAGCTGGCTATTTCTTGTGCCAACATTAAGGTTCTTTGTGCATCCCGAAACCACGCTAACAAGTTATATCCCGGCAGAGGTGTAGAAGCGGTATGTATGTATGCTCAGCCCTCTCTCCCCCTCCTCCTCCCCCTCCCCCCCCCCTTGGCAACGCGGACTGCTCGCCTTAATCTATGTCGGTTCCCAGCAGCATTGGTTATTGGACAACCCAAGGTTAGTACTTAGCATGGATGATTTAATAGGTCCATGAGTAAAACAGGTTTTTCCATCATGCATTCCAGCTTCAAAATTTTTTTTTTTTTTTTTTTTTTTTTTTTTTTTTTTTTTTTTTTTTTTTGGTAAAGAAGCTGGCTGGTATGAACCTTCGTCTGACATCGTCACAAAGCCCACAAATTCGTATTGAGCTTCTGAACAGCATTCAGTTGACAACACATTTTGCATGATGTAGGCATTGGTGTTGGTGGCAGAGATGACTATGGTACACTACCGCATTGATGAGAACCCCCTTTTGGGGTGGGGGCTTCCAAGGCCACTTGGATCAATAAAAGCGATCGCGTCTGGCCTTGCTTTCGATGCGAACACGACATATGGGCCTCGGCCGTGATTATCACAGAGCGAGTGAGCGAGTGGATTGAGAAGGGCCATGGACGAAAATTGGCATAGTCGACTTCGAAGTAGTCCGTCCATACGCGCTTGCCTTGCTTGACGGGTCCTGGATTAAGAGTGAACCTCAATGGGCTGTGAACGATAACTGAGTAACTCAACAATTGGGGGCGGACAACACTAGACAGAGCGATTCCATCCATCTGGTACTTTGCAAGTTTGAACGGGTCTCCCGGGACGTTGGAATTGTAGACATGCTGATCAGGCCCTGCTGTGAACAGCTCACCATAAGATACAACACACGATAACCACACATCACAAAGATTATGGAAGAGGACTAGACAAATTAAACCCGTGTATTTGCGTATAAATCGTACGTACAAGAATGGAAGATTTTGTCGCCAGGTTTGCAAAGCCAAAAACGCACATACAAGAGAACCGAGCCGAATCAGCCATGCTTCTCGTCCAGCTCGCCATAGTCATCGCTATTCGCTGCCCATAGTCTCTCCACGACCACCGTGATGATGATGCATAAGAAGAATCAAAGCACCGCTGCCAACGGACCGCAGCAGAGACCCTAAAAAAACCACGGTAAGAGAGGACAACAAAGACGGTGACAAGGTATAATCCGAAATGGAAACCGGAAAACTCGCATCGAACCCAATGTCTACAAAAGGCACTTCCCAAAAGACGAACGAATGAACCCATCTCCGCGGAAAGACCAGTATCGCATGGACAGAACAAGACTTACAGACAGACAAAGCCTTTGGACTAAGAAAATGTCAATTTTTATCCGTCACCCACAAACTTGACGACACAGAGAGGGCAAAAAAATTATTAAAAAGTCGAAGTAGTAGTAAATTGATGTTCGGGAATAAAATAAAAAAAAAAAAAAACCGCAGGAATTGATCATCGAAAAACCAAAGTCATTGCCCAACCTGATTTTCGTGAAACGCCCCCGAAAAGAAAAACAGATCAACCCTTTGTCGCCAGCTGTGTAGCCATGCGTGTGTGTGTGTGCTCTGTGGGTAAAGAAAAGCAGAGGAAAGCCGGTGGGCAAGAGAAGTTTCAGACATCTTTTTCCGTCATACCTTCATTCACATCCTTTGTCATGTTCCCACAGTCCGAAACTTTCTCATCATAAAATCCTCATTCATAATCCGAACTTCAAAACGTGATTTCATCTTCCATGCTGCTGGTGCTTTGTGTCCGCCGTTTTAGGAGAAACTGAGTCTATGGTATGGGGAAGGTAATGGTAATAACTTGTTCTCTGATGTATGTGGGAGAAAAAGAAGAGGTATCACTGAGATATGGAGGAAAAAAAGTTAAAGTAATAAAGCAGAACTTTTGGAATGATCCCCGACCCGCGCAAATGCATAATTTGGAGAAACCCGCCCGGTCTATGCTCACAGAGACAGTTCCGGGTGCTCATGATGCGGCACACCGTTGAACTTGTTTTGGGTAAGAGAGAAAAAGAAAACCATCTGCCTTATTCGTCCTTCTTCTCGTCATTATTCGTGGTATCGGGTGTCACCTTGGACAATGCCGGAGAGGCAGAGGCCGAAGGGGGGGAGCCGGGGTGGTCTCCAGCATCAGCAAGAAGGCTGTGAATTACGTTAATTTGTAGGTTCAACATGTTAGGGGGCACAATTATCATACCTGAAAGCATTTGCGTGGGAAACCGAATCGTTACCGCGCATGGAAGCAGTACGGGATGAGCCGCCAGAGTCATCACCGCCGCGGCCAAAAGCACCGCCAGGACCACCGACCTGACGACGACCACTGTTGCTCCTAGAATTGAACATGGACGTAGGCGGGCCGAAAGACATGCCCTGGCTACCGGAGCGGCTGGTGTTGCCCTTCAAGCGCTTGAGATCACCAAGCTCGACCTGGTTGTTGGTCATGCTCTGGTTGTAAGGGAAGCCCCTGGCA